TTTTGCAATAATAGGCTTTGAGAAACATGCTGTTCCTTAACTTTTGGAGGGCACTGTATATATAAATATTAACAAATAATCAATGCAAAGAAGGACTATTAAGAATCCAGCGCCTAGGTTGCAATGATTTAATTAAACACAATTATAACTAAAGGGGAATACTCCCATTAAATTCTTACATTTCAAATTAAATCAGGAAAGCAAAGAAAGTAAAATAATTCCAATTTGAAGTCAGAATAAATTCCAATTTACAAATTCGTATCTTTAAGTAATATTAAAAGTTTTTTTTTTTTTTTTTTTTTTTTTTTTTAAATGTTAAAGGTTTAGAAAATTTTTTTACAAGGATTAAATAGTAAAAGTTAAATTGGTAAGGAAAAATTGCTTTACTAACAATGGCCTATAGTAGTGAATATGCATAAAATTGTGACAAAAATTTTGTTAGTGCTAATTAAAACCATATAAAGAAAATTACTTTAAAATGAGCAATTGAAAAGATAACGAAATAATATCGACTCTTCAAAGGGAATTAGCTTATTTCACATGCCCTCCAACCGTTCAGACATTGTGTTCCATCCTTTCTATGCATATGCAAATCGAAAGAAATGAAAGTAAATGTAAATATTTAATTCTCCAAATTTAGCGTACTCATATGCAGTATCAAGAATTCATGCAGGAGAATTCTTGTGCTACATCATGTAGGGGAATTCTTTATATAAAGAATATATATTCATTTATATATAGATATATATATGTAAATTATATAATTATTACAACTCACTATGTAGAGGGGTATACTTTTCATGCAACTGTATGCTAAAATCTCTTTTCTCCTGTGTTAACATCTTGCTCATGTACTATATGTTCAATAATCAGCTGTCACATGATGAACAACAAAAACATTAAAATTTCTGAAATGGTGAGTAAAATTATAATTCCTACAAAAGAAATACTAGATATTAATTAGAACTGAGATTTTAAAAGTTTAAAGAAAAAATCCACAAAACTTCTCTAGAGTTTTAGAGCAAAGTTGTCCTGTCACCTGTATGATGCTCAAGGCTGTTGCTAACGACAAGTGCAATCTTGCACTCCTTCCCACGATGGATTTCGTGGGCTTGTTCTGATGTTACTGTCGACAAGTAAGATAAGTCATAACAACACAGAGTTTTAAATATTTGTTTTCCCTAGTTCTACAGGATTAAATAACATTTATGAAAAAACAAAAAGATCCACAGATATTCTTAGATAATTAATATACGTTTTAGGGGAATATTATTTAAAAAGTATTTAACATTTAAAAAAAGAAACATAATCTCAAGAGAAAGAAGTTTGCTTGATTGCATTCAAGAAGGAAGAGGAAGATGGCATAGTTTCTTAACAAAAAATTGTTAATCTAGCAAAAACTGTATAATTAATATTTTCAAAATTTTCATATCTATACAGAATATATTTAATTTAATCCTTATATGAAATAAATATTCTAAAGCATTAAAGATAACATTTGAAAGTTATTTTCTATATTGAGTTGTAGGCGGGCTTTTACAAGGCCTTTCTTGAATTTATTTTTAATTTGTGAGCCCTTTGTTATTTATGTATCCCAAGAATGTTTTGCATGCTACAATCATACTTCATGTTAGTCTTCTTCTTGAGAAATTGGGGTCTCCTCTGCTTTCATTTAAGTTTGGTCAAACATGCTGCAAATGGCCTAAAAGTTAAATGGATGCTAGAAAATACCATTTGTTTTCAATAAATCTATTGTTGAGAATCAAACTCTTTAACATCCAGGTGATGGGATGAAATCTGACTGTTAGGTTTTTCATTACAAGATAGAAGAAGATGTACTTTGATTGACATTTCAGATCTTATCTAATAACTCTATAAGAATTTAAGCCTAAACCTTACGTAAAATTTATTTTCAAAAATGTCTCAGCTTAAACTAATGTATGAAAGCTTTTGACATATACTGTGCTGCATAAATAAGCTGACACATTATTTTATGTAATTTGGGATATTTTGTGATTTTCTATTTTTTAATAATTTTTTAAAATTTTCAAATGTCTTCTTGTCCATACATTATATTTTCTATTTTTGTAAAAGGTAAAGCATTTAATTACAATTTAGTAGTTTTTTTTAATAAGCTTGACACATTTTTAAAATTATCATAGTGTACTTTCCTATTTACTTTACATAATTACTTTCCTATTTACTTTTTACACATTTAAAACTCAAACATTTCCCTGATGCCTGTAATTTACTAATTGCTTTTTAAAAATTTAGAACATGAAATATTTTATCAAGAGAGGATGGAGATTAAGGAAAGTTTCTTTTTTTCTACAAATATATTATACGTAATATGTATCCAAATAAAATAAATTTTGAAACTGTTATTTATGAAAAATTCAAGTTTTGGATGCAACATTTGTTATAGGATGTTATGTGAAGAGAATAAGCATGCTATTCAATTGCTAAACATTACTTGCAGAAAGGCTGACATTATCATAAGAAATAGTATATATATAATATATATATATACAGTGATGGACAAAAAATATGGAAACACCTTGTGAAATGCATGTTTGAAAAGAAAGATGATTTTTATAGAATATGTAGGTGGCACTGGCGTTTTTTGACTACTGACGCCACCTATACAACTTCGTAAATGTGCTAAACAGTTCAGTTGTTGTCGAGTACTGTTATGTGAGGTTGTCATTGCATTATGTCAGAGTTAACAGACTTCGAACGTGGGCAAATTGTTGGAGCACGTATGGTAGGTGCTTCCGTAAGCAAGGTAGCCGAGGTGTTTAGTGTTTTCAAGAGGTACTGTATCGAAGATTTATTCCGCATATTTGAAAAGCGGAAAAATATCATCTGCTAAATCACAGCGCGGACGAAAGTGTGTCCTGAGTGATTGTGACAGACAAATCATTAAGGGCAATTGTGACGAAAAAAATAAGAAGACCACAGCTGCAAAAGTTACTGCTGAAATGAATGTTGTGTTACCGAACCCTGTGAGTACCAAAACAATTAGAAGGGAGCTTCATAAACAGGGAATTGCTGGCCATGCTGCAATTGCAATTGAGAAGCCACTCATCATTGATGCTAATGCCCGTAACAGGAAAAGGTGGTGTTTAAGTCATAAAGCCTGGACTATAGAGCAGTGGAAGCGAGTAATATGGTCCGACGAGTCTTCTTTCACATTGTTTTCCACTTCTGGCCGAGTTTACCTCTGGAGAACACCATCTCAAGCCTATAATACAGACTGCTTGTTGCCAAGAGTGAAACATGGCGGGGGTTCTGTTGTGGTTTGGGCAGCCATATCGTGGTTCTCTACTAGCCCCATGATAACTGTGTCAGAGCACATGACTGCCAAGATTTATGTGAACATTTTGGCCGATCAAGTTCATCCGATGGTACAAACTTTGTTCCCCGATGGTGATGGTGTCTTCCAAGACGACAAAGCCCCTGTTCACACAGCTCACATTGTCCAGGACTGGTTCTCTGAGCACGAGGATGAGTTGTCCTATCTCCCCTGTCCACCACAGTCACCAGACCTGAATATTATTGAACCTTTGTGGTCTACATTGGAACGGAAAGTGCGTTCTCATTATCCACCGCCAACATCGTTATCTGAACTTGCCACCGTTTTGCAGGAAGAATGGTATAATATTCCCTTGGCAAACATACAGGAACTGTATTTATCCATTCCGAGAAGTCTGCAAGCTGTTTTGGATGCCAACGGGTTTCCTACACCACATTATGCAAAGAAACATGTTTTTTTAAAGGTGTTTCCATATTTTTGTCCAACCCCTGTATATATATATATATAATAATTTATTTACTAAATAAAATTGATTATATTATCTCCTAATATTAAGTACAATAACTTAATTTCGCACTAAATGAATTTAAGATCATACAACATTATATATATATACGTATATATTTCCGCTTTTTAATTTTTAATTTTAATATATTTTTTGCCTTTAACTTATTCCATCGATTAGTATTTTACTGTGTTTTATAATTTTTTTTATAAATTTACTTTTTATTTCGCATATAGCCTAATGTATTACCTCATTCAATTGATTTGTTTTTTAATACTGTGTTAAAATTTCTGAAAATATTTAGCATATAGCTTTTATTTTTTGAACTCGTAAATATACAAAAAAATTTTCCTTTTTCACACTATTCATAACTACTGAATATGCTTATGTTGGAGTTTTTTTGGAGCCACAGCTTTTGGTAACTTTTTGGCGAGCTTACTACAATTTATCGTCTCATTTCCTTAATTTTGCAGCACATCGCATAAAAGTATTTTGACCCAAATTGGTCTTTTTTGTATTGTTCTCACAACTTTTCTTATATATATATATATATATATAATATATATATATATATATATAATATATAATAAATAATAATAATAAAAAACACACACAACAAAGTTATTGGATTTTCTTTCTCTAAAAAATGTGACTTCTATTTTTGTACCTCTTCTTACATGCATTATTTTAGAATTTCTATTGGAATTTGGATAAACAGCCAATTAAAAAAAATTAGACATAAACTTACTGAAAGATGATTTACAGCTGCAGATTTCTTATCAGGCTTATTGTTGGCAGCTATGATTAAATCTACCTTGTCCCCATTTATGAAATAAAATGAAGCAACTGCAGAAATTTCACGGCTTCAGCTGTTAGGCCAATCAATGTTAGACTGGATATTAATGATAAAATTGTAATCCATCACCCTCAGAAGCAAAATTCTTCAAAACAATTTTTAAGGATTTTGTCAGAGGTCTAACTGCTCTCTAAATCATTAAAAATATTCATCTTTTTCAACTGAAACCATTGTTAGATTAAGATTGAATACTGCCAATTATTAACATCCAAACTGACATGTAGTGCCTTTACTTCAACCAGGAAGACAAATTCAGATGCAATTTACTTTTTAGACAAAACATTAACTGTTTTTGCTATTTAATTTTCTCACCATCAATTTAAAACAGTTATATATGCATATTCTTTGCTTTAAATATGTAACATTTTATGTACCTTTCTTGATCCAGGTGGAGCTGGTTCAAAAATTCGAGTTTGCATCTCACTTGGCAAAGCGGAATACACAGGCAAAATTATGAGTTCTGGTACTTCTGGCCCCAAAGATTTCATTCTTTCATACAAAATCTCACAAGCAGTGTCAATTTCTTCCTGACCAGTCAGGAACAATAAAATATCACCTAGAAATAATGGTAATAGATTATTTTGATCTATTATTAATGAATAAAACTCATACAGTTATTACAAAAATAAAAACAATAAACAGAATATAACAAAAAAAAGTAATAAGAAACAGAATACACTATGATATACAGTTAAAAGTCGTTAATTCGGACACCCATAATCCGGACCTCAAAGCTAAAATCTTTCTGCGCATGCGCCGCGTTGACGCATGCTCATAGGCGTTTTTACGCGTCCGCGCAAGACATTTACGACTGCGCATATGTGTCTGCGCAAGTGCAGAATACGTTTTCGCGTCGGACGGCATAAGCTAAAATTATGTAATTATCTATTTCAGTTAATGCTGATGATTGCGTTGTTCCTTAATCTTCGAATTGGATCTGGCTTATTATTTTTTGCAGACTGTAAGAGCAATTTTATAAAAGTAAGCTTGAACTTTCGATTATGTCAAATAGAATTTCCGATGCTGGAGCTCCCAAAGGATCTAGAAAACGAAAGTATGATTCGATGTCCATCAAACAAAAAACGAATTGCTACAAAAAATGGATAAAGGTATATCCTTTAATATCTAACCGTTCGGAAATCTGTTTATCAATTTCACGCTGCTCTGCGCAGGGGGGGGGACGTCGCGGCGCGCAATGAACTGGGAGTTGATCTGTCACCACTATCGTTATCTTCAAGGCAGATGTTTTTTATTTTATTCGGCTTATATTTCCTTATTAAATGTAGTTTTTAATCTCGATGTACTCCGTCTTTGATATGATTTAAATCAAATTCCTCGTCATTATAAATATCACAAATACAAATCAAATAGTTTTCTGGTTGCAATTTTCTAATTTTGGCTATGCGTAAGGTACGCATGCGCGCGTTGAAAGAAATGTTTAATAAAGTAAACAAATAAATATTAAGCTTCTTTTTTTTTGTAAATTTTGAAACCCTTTAGATCATAATTGCTCATTATTTTATAAATTACGGTTTCATATTTTTAATTTTATAATTTCTGCATGCCATCTTGCCAGATTTAGACTGATGATCTATAATCCGGAAAAATCGATAATTCGGAATCGCCGAAGTCCCGACGAGTCTGGATTAAAGACTTTTGACTGTACAATCATCATAAAATCTATTTAAAACTTATAAATTATAACACAATTTAAAAAAACTAACCTGGTGGTTCTGTTAAATGTATTTGCATGACAGTAATTAGGGATGCATCCAAATAATCACTTTCTGGTTCTTTGGTATACAAAATCTCTACAGGATATGTACGCCCAGGAATAGTAAAAATTGGCTAAAAATATGACATTATGAGGATAAAAATATTAAAAATTTCCAAAGGTCGGCATAATCAAGGGGAAAAAATCAGTAACTATAAATATTATAAATTAATGTAATATAGTAAAAATACAACAAAAAGTTATATAAAGATGCTCAGTAGTTTAGAAGTGTAAATAAGAAAATTGGGTAAGTTTAATTCTGAATTATGTTCTGTAATTCTTTCGCAATGGAAAATACAGGGTGCCCATAATTTAATCATTGGAAAACAAACTTAAATTGAAACATAATTTTAAATAGTAACAGGAGATAATTTACATTGATGTAATCTTTAGTTCAAGAAATTTTGCTCATTCTAATTTTTGGGAATGGCAACAGAGAACTTGTTTGTTTACAGACAAAATGGAGTCAAGCATTAAAATAGGAATGTACATTCTCTGGTTATGGGATATGAAATCTCTGAAAATAGTTCAGACGTGAGTCTGATATGAATTTAATAAACCTTCATCAATGGAACAATGAATTAAAAGATGGTTAAAAGAGTTTTGAGAGACCAGACATGTTTTGTATAAAGGAAGTACAGGTACCCTAACCATTACTGATGAAAATGCTTTCGCCATTTGAGATGCGTTTCTGTACAGTTGTCATTGCAGGCTGCAAACAGGAATTCCCAGGACTGGCAGATATTGATTCACAGTGCTTTTCAAAAATACCAAGAAACATCACCATACTAAGAAAATATTTTCCAGATTATAACACTGCTACCACTAGCTTACATTCAACAATAGTTATTAGGTGGTTTTATGCTAAAAAAACCAAAGAACATCAGTTCACTAGAGCTAAAAATGTGACACATTGGAGAATTATAACTTAATCACTGCACATCCAAAATTAGCAATCTTGTACAAACTATAGTGAAGTTGAGCAATGAACCATACTGAGCCTATTGCAGTCACAAGCCATCTGCTCCTTAGCTCTGTTCACAATTGTTGAATAATAGTTTTGGCACACATCTTATAGTTTTCTGATTCATTTAGAAGGAAAAGTGCTAGGAGAATCAGTTCATACTAAACTGCACAGCCAATGTTCACTTCACACTAATGTTACTGTGGCCCAGTGTTAAATATGAAATAAATAAAATATCAATTTTTTCGGCAGATTTTCTTTAGCATGGATGCATAGAAGAAAGGTGTAATCCTATTGAGAATACACTATTTCCAAAATCTCATTTTACTTTGATGTCATTTGCTGTAGATTAAATCTTGTATGGCAGAAAGCAATGGACCATTTCTAAAATTTTACATGAATTATGCAATATACCCAAGATTAAAATTCAGTGGAATTAGAGCAAAATTTCCTTCAAAAATAAGTTATTGCATGCAAAGCGAAAATGTTTTTCTACACTGTTTTTATGATGATGTTTTTAATTTTTTAAAATTTGATTTTTTCCATTTACATTATTTTGCTATTTCACATTCAGAATCTTTTTAAATTCATAGATGTGAAAGCAGATCTTATAGCAAATACACAAAAATAAAAATATTAAAAAAAAAAAAAAAAAAAAAAAAAAGGTTATTGCTGGCATATAAATGAGGCCAGATGAATTAGTACATAGGAAATGAAAATATTTAAATTATTAATATAACATATTGCTACTTAATATAGTAACATAAATGCAATATAATTTTAAAAATTAGTTTCTTCCATTTCTCTCACTTTAGTGGATGAAACTTGCCAACTCTGATAAATGTAAATGTCGAAATAATTTTTAATAACTAATAACACTAATAATAGCAATAACAGAAAAAAAAAGAGAGCCACAGCTTAACATATTTACTTACTGCTTCAAAAAAGTACTGAGAAAATTTGACTGCGTCTAGAGTAGCAGAAGTGACGATGAGTTTCAATTCTGGTCTTTTTTTTACAGCCTAAGGATAAAATAAGACAATGAAATATATTTGTTACTAAGAACTGAAATTTTCTGCAAAAATTTATAAAAACTAGACACAGGCATGAAAGTGCAAGTTGGCAAAAAAAGCTGAACAATGCGTGGACACAAAATTACGCAAAAAGTAAATGTGCACGCGTGACCTAAAAAAAAAATTCAATAAAATATCAACCTTTTTAATATAAAAGTATTAAACATATAATTAAACTAAAATAATACTTGTACTTACTATTTTGCTATCAATTTTATCTTCCACTGGTAAAAAAAAAAAAAAAAAAAAAAAAAAATCAGTAAATCACCAAGAGATTGTAATGAATTAACCTTTTTTAAGATGCTCCTTATGTAACTTAATTTAACAGTTGATACATGAATACTGTACACAACATTACAACACACTAATATACATATTTATGTTATATATTACTGCACATTTTCAGGCAATGACAAGTTTTAGAGAAACTGTTACTATAGCTTTCAATTATCTTCTTTTAGTTGAATAAACAGTACTTTATGTAACACCAGTAAAAGTAGTCATATCAGATAATATAGTTACAAAATAACATATAAAGGAGGAATATAAAAAATAACTATTTTGTCTCAGTCTCACTTGATCATGATTAAAAATTTTTAGGGATAAAGCTTTTTCTTTTTTGCTACTTTTGCAGCCAACTTTTCTAATTTCGTTTGCGAGCTAGTCTCAATTTCTTTTCAGCAGCTTTTATACAATCCATTGATACTTTTTTATTTTCTTCTTTATTTTTTGCAATGTTTAATTGCTTTTTTTTTAGATTCTCGCATCTCCATTTTTATCTCTAGCTTTTGTTTGTACAGTTTATGAGCATTCCTTAAATTTTTACATAGAGTTTTGTGTACTGGAGAATGCAAGTGATTATCCGTATGTCTGACAGATGGCGCCAGCACCGAAGTCAGCTCTCGTTTGACAGTTGCTTGCTCTTCTTTGATTCGATATTCGTACACATCTAATTTCGGCTTTCCACATAAGCCCTACCTATTTCGCCTTGATGTGAAACAACTTATTTCGCGATCTCTGGCATGATGTAATTTTTTTTTACAAAGAAAAGAGGAAGAGAAAGAGCGTGTCCTCCATTTACCCCCTCCCACATTTGCCAGCCTCGATTTCTCAACGGTTCTGCATCGATCTCAGAAACAGCCCGGGTGACGTTCAAAAAAGCGGAATTTCGCGAAAACGCGGAAAACTTTCATGCCTGTAGACATTATGCAAATAACAAAGTAAAAAAATTACAATTGACACATAAAAATCATGGATACAAGGATATACTTATTACATACTTTATTACTTTTTTGTTTAAGCAAAAATTATTGAGTTATTAGAATACAACTTGATACATAACAGCATGATATTTACATGCAGTACACTCAAGCATAATAATCAATAATGCGACTGCAAAGTAACACTTACTTCAAATTATGCAACAGGGAGTTTTAAGAAATGTAGCAGATCAATGTAAAATATTATAGAAAACTACGGAATAAATTAAAAAATTTGTGGCAATTTAATGCAACATATTTAAATACTGCAGCAGTTTGTAACAATTACAATATGTAATAAAAACTCAAAGTACAGCAATGTGTTTCATAATGAACAAGTTATTTGAATAAAAAAACATGTTGCATCATGAATGATGCTGTGGTGATAGTTTTCACCACAAGACTCCATACTTGTCAGCCATAAAATTTAGTAAGCCATAAAATTAACTTCATTTAAAATTAAAAGGTAAAATACAAAATTAAATAGATAATGATAAGCCAACGTCAAATATTGAACACGAACAAGCATGAACAGTGAATTATAAGTGCGCATAAGTCTCTTGGCATAATTTCAAGACTTGGTATAGCAAGTGCACACAGGTACAAAGCACCAAACACAGATATCGCATGCATATGTTTAATACATATATCCTTCTTGTCCAGAATGCAACTACTCTGCCACAGTACTCCAACACATACACATGCCAAAGGCACAAGAGGTCAGAGATATCTAGGGCTAAACTTGACTCTTCTGCCGGAATGAATATTCTACGGTCTTCTGCCAGAAGGAGTAGTCTGCACTGGTGGTATAGTGCCATTCAGTTTTACTGTAGGAGTTTGCTCAGGAACAGGAACCGATGCCACAGTATCTGAAACTGCCCCACACAAATTCTGTAAACATGAAATTGGATCAGAAGAATTACAAACTTGGGTGTGTTTAAAAATTTCTGCAGGAAGACCAATAGTCGTTCCATAAACCATTTCTGAGCAAGTTCCCCAGATCTTTGTATGGTGCTCGAAGACCGAGGAGTACAGTTGGAAGGCTCATTGTCCATTCGACATTATGATGGCACAGTAACTCATCAGTGAATGATGAAATCTCTCATGTAATTCATTAGCTGCAAGGTGGTATGGAAAAGTCCAAATTTGGCAAACACCAAGAATTTTATTAATAGTAGTGAACATGTGTGACTCAAATTGCCAGCCTTGAAGGGTACTTATGATAGTCGGAACTCTAAACCTAGCAATCTAATAGGTAAAATAGGCTTCAGTGACAGTTTCTATCGAAATATTCTTCATTGGTATTGCTTCCAGCTATCAGGAGAATCGGTCGATAAGGGTTAAAAGGTAGGAGTATTCTTCCGAAGGTGGCATGAGTCCGACTACTCGAATGCACATGTTCAAAATGTTGACTGGGAATGGCAAAGGATTGCAATGGACTGTGAGCATGCTCCATGGCTTTGGACTTCTGGCAGTCGATGCAAGCACGAGTCCAGGCAGTCGATGCAAGCACGAGTGCAGGCAGCACAGTTCTTTGACATGGAAGGCCATACAAAATGAGAAAGAATAAGTCTTTTGTTGATCATATACCTGGATGAGAAAGGCCACAGAGTAAATCAACACTGCCTTTCGCAATTAATGAGGAACAAAAGAATGGATCTTGTCATCACTTATATCAGAGTATATATTTAAGCCAGGGAATAACTCCATCTTTTGTAGTTTTAATTAGCTACTTTCTGTAGACAGTAACTGAGTTCAGAATCATTATCACAGCATTAGCTAGATCAGTTTTACACTTTTCAAAGACCGTAGCTGTTTCTGCTGTCCAAACAATAGGACAATTATCGTTTTGACTAGAATCTTTCAAAACAGAATGAAGCGGTGCTTGAGCAGTTGCTGCCTTATGCAGAAACTGCCAATAAAAATTCAACTTTGAAAAAAATCTCTTTAGTTCAGACATAGTTACAGGTTTAGGAAAGTTAGAAATTATTGCAATTTTTTTAGGAAGGAGCTGAGTACCACAAGGGGTAATTAAACAACCAAGAAATGATACTGACGACTTTCCAAGAACACATTTAGTAGGATTCAATTTTATTTCATATTTCTTCAGTTTATCAAAAAGTAAACAAACGTGATTTTCATGCTTGTTTTCATTCACTGAACCCACAAGTAGATCATCTAAGTAAAGAATACAAAAATATAAACCAGAAAGTACTTAATGAATAAATCTTTGGAATATTTAATCTGCATTTCATAAACCCACATCATTTTAAGAAACTCAAATAATCCAAATGGGGTGGTCACAACTGTTTTCAGCACATCCTCTGGATTAATAGCAATTTGATAATAGGCCCTAAGCAATTTGAGTGTTGAGAAAATATTTTTTTTCAAAAAATAATCTAAGAACAATCTTGAATATGCAGTACAAGATACTGGTCAGGAATAGTCATAGCATTCAGGCGACAATAATCACTGTAAGGGCGCCAATCACTGTTAGTTTTATGGACCATGTGAACAGGGCTGGTCCAAGGGCTTTTGGACAGCTGAATGATTCCTTGTGATATAAAGAACTCAAGCTCTTGTTTTGCCACTTGGAATAAATCTGGCAACAAACAATGAGGTTCAGAGAACACAGGAGGACTTCTAGTCTCAATACAGTGAAAAATAGTTGAATTCTGATTATTGTTGGTTACATAAGAAAAATTAGTGAGTTCAGGATACTCAGCTAATAATCTATCAAATTCAGAATTACCAACAAGTCCAGACATACCTGAAGCAAAAAAATTCCCAAACAATTTTCCATCCAATGATAAATTAGTTTTAGAATCAATAAGGCAAATTATTAGCAACATCAACAAGAAATCCATATTTTTTTTAAAGAAATGTACACCTATAATTGGCTGCTTTACATCTGCAACAACAAATAACCAAGTAAAAGTCTGACGTAAATTTAAATTCAAACTAAGGCATTTAGTGCCAAATGTAAGAATTTTAGTTGCATTGGTGGCAAATAAAACCAAATTCTGAGAAGGCCTAGAATACAAAGCATACTCTTTTGGTAATACCAACAAATCCGCACCAGTATTAATTAAATATTTTATTTTTGAAGAAGGGTTTGGAGAACAGTATACGATTCACCTGGTTTTCGCTATTTTGGCCAGAAAATGATTGCCCTGTTTCCCTTTTGGCGAAAGGAATATGGAGACTGACTTTTCCTTGCCTGTTCCCCAAAATTTACATTATAAAAGCAAAGCTTGTTTGTTTGCTCTTTATAACAGTTAATATGTTTGTGTGACCTGCTAAGCTGAAAATTAGGCTTAGTTTGTTTGTTCGATCTTTATAGTGGTTAGTATGTGTCATGTGACCTGCTTCAGTGGTACGAATGCCAAAAATGACACTTAGGACTACAAAAATTACATTCCAAGGTAGAGATTTACTCACTAACTTGTTTAGTCATTTGTGCTATATGGAGTTCCAAACGAGTAGCAGCAGATTCACTTGGCTCAGGGGTCACAATAGCCATATTCACATAAGAATGAGGTATAAGGTCAGTAAATCTTATCAGCAACCATAGCCAATTTACTCAAATCATCTTCACAAAGAGCAGCTAAAATAGATTGCGTGCTATTCCGAAGCCTTGCAAGCCACAAAGATCTAAGAGAAAGGTTCACTTACAGTATCACGTGCCAAAGTGCACATATGAGTCAATAACTAAGAAGGACAATGGCCGCCAAGCTCTAAACCTTGCAACAGAGCAGGAATTTTCAATGCTTCGCTCTTGAAATTCACCGAAATCAAGTTTTGTTTTAGGACATGATATTTTCCAATAGCAGGAGGTTTTAAAATGATATCGCCAACAGAATTAAGTATATCAGAGTCTACAGCAGCAACAACATGGTTAAAGTTTTTTAAATCCAATGTTATACTGGAAAGGGAAAACTGCAATTCCAGTCTGACATATCATAAGGCAAGGCTTGTTTTCCAAACAGGGGTAATTTTACTGAAACATGCTATATGTATGTAGTCGCTGCACCTTCAGCTGCATTAGCATAATATTCATTATGCATAATTATGCATATTAGCATAATATTCATTATGCTAATAACCAACTTCTTACAACTAAGCATTAGAAATATTAATATCAAAACTTAACGGAAAAGGATAGAAAAACCTATTGTACACATTGCACTTCTACCCACTAATGATACACATTGAAATAAAAATGCATATCAATAAAAACATAAAATATTCACTACATAAAAGGATACTGATCACAAAAATATGGAAGAAAATCAATTCCCCTGAAATGGTCCTACCTACACTCTGAAACACATGATAACCTGGTTAAAAAATATCCAATATCAGCTAATATTAAATTATCCAACATTATACACTAAACAATTAGTACTTTCACTGAAATATTCCTGATTTGTAGCTCCACAATAAAATCATTTGTGCAGATACTGCTGCTACGGAATCTTAATATTCAGCTTCTTCGAGCACCTCACTCTGGCTACACATAACTCCAGTGTTCTTCTTGCATCACCAAATGTGGCAATGTTTTACGCCACAATAATCGAAACCTGAGAAGATTCATTAAAAGAAAGGCTAAAGAGTTTAATAAAACATAAAATTAACTTTATTTTATATTAAAAGGTAAAATACGAAATTAAATACACGATGATCAACTGACGTCAAATGTCGACCACGAACAAGCAGGAACAGTGACGTTTAAGTGCAAATGAGTCTCTCAGCAAAAGTCTTCATGCTCACGCCATAGCGAATGCACACAGGTACAGCACAGCAAACATGGATACTGCATGAAAATGTTAAAATATAAATATTCTCATTGGAATGCAAGTATTTTGCCACAATGTCTTGAATAAAGAACACTCAATTCAGTATAAAAAATGACTTTCAAGGTGATTTCAGGAAATTTCTGAAATAGAATTAAATGCAGTAGATTGCTAGAAACAGCATTTTAATATTTTTTATTGCTTTACTCTCATTAACAAAGCCTATCCCAAGTTACTTACAGGACCATGAATTTCGGCCTGGAGGAAATTATGGCGAAACTGTACTGCAGGCAGAGATTTTGAGGGATTTAACACAGAAGATATTTTTTAATCGATGGTATTGGGTCTCTAGGCAAAATCATGGGCTAGTTAAAAATGAAGATGGGAGGGATTAACAATGACTACAAAAATTAAGTTCAAGAAGAAAGAACACCTTCAGGCACATTCAGAAACAAATGGCAAGTGTGGAGGAAGTATCATGAAAGGAAGAGGAACAAAATGTAAATGAACCTAGTTCTTTGATTTGAGCAAAATGAAATATGGTGCAAAGTTTCATGTAAGCTGTATCATGCACAACATGCATTTTACATTAATGTTCATTCTTTGTAAATTTTCTGTAAGGGGAGGAATTCATTTCAGTTCACGAACATTTTGGATGATAAATGAGCTTTAGAAGTGAATACAGCTTGTGAAATGAAATTTCACTGTATTTTAAATATGCATATCAGGAAAATGCATTAAAGAGCTAAAATTTCTAATACTCAATTTAAAATTTTACATCTATGGGCCATATCTGCCTTTCTCAAACAAACAAATGAACATACACACACATAACACACAAAATGATAACAATAAGGTTTTATCAATCATGGATAAATTTTCATTTTACAATTTTTGACACCTGAAATTTTGTTACACAGGTTAAGGATTCTTATGATTACACCACTGATTATACTGGTTAATATTTTGTAAATATTTTGCTTCTATTTCTCATTTTGGCACAAGATGAATAATTTAAACAGAAATATTGTTTTCTTTCATAGTGTGTGTAAAGATGACTAAATATTCTGTTTCTGCACTATATTTAAAAAAGAGGGGGAAGGCTCAGTCAGGAGTATTTTACTTTTTTATAACAACTAAGCACAGTGCATATGTTTAGAGGAATTCCTGCAAAAATTACAACATAAAAATTAAGTGGGAAAGTTAAAAAGACATACACAAAAAACAAAGTAAGTTTTATTTAAAATGTTAAAATAAAAGAATATAACCTCCACTTGCAAGCAGTAAATAAATAATTTATTTATTTGCTGATGATATATGATTACTTGCTGACTTAATACAGAGTGTTTCTAAATAAATATTGGGGTTTCAATGCTTTGCATTTTTTATTATGTGAAAATTATAATACATGAAATGAAAGAGCAACTCAAACAGTTATACCTACAAGCTTACAAGTGTTCGATGACAGCACCTTTTGTCATGCGGCACACAACAAGTAGGCAGCCCAGTTCTTCCTAAATGTTGATTAGTGTTTGTGGTGTAATTGTTCTCTACCAATTGGGTCTTCTATCAATTGGGAAAATAGCCATAGTTGTAAAGCATCAAGATAGAAAGTACCAGTTACAGTTGCTTTTCCAAAGAAAAAAGGCTTATAAACTTTCTGCCAAGATATGGCACAAAAACATTCAATTTAGGGGCATCTCACTGCAATTGTACCATTTCATGAGGATTTTCTAAGCCCAGATGCGCACATTATGAGTGTTCACATGTCCACTGAGGTTAAATGTCGATTCATCACTAAAACCAACATGATCCAGAAAATCGTCGTGCAACAAAATTTCATGTGCAAAGTTGGCATGTAAACCATGGTCTGTAGGCTTTAGAGCCTGTACTGTAGCAACAAACAGAATTGTTCGAGTTGCTCTTTCATTTCATGTATTAATTATGATTTTAAGTTTTATGTAATAAATACTACAATGAGTTAAACCCCCGATATTCATTTAGAAACACCCAGTATATTAACTCACATTTTAAGGTAAACACCTGCATGATACTTTCAAAAGTATTATTTGAATATATATATATATATATATATATTATATAATCGTGTATTAAAACTGATGCAGATGTAAATGTAAATATATACTTGTGTATAAGTACATATTGCAATTTTTGACCTAATTAACATCATTTTCTTTTTATACAAATGCATTTTACCTCTTCATTATTCATAATAAATGTTTTAAAACTAAAAATCTAATCAATGGTTAGAAGAAAATTTAGTTAGTCAAGCTTTTAAATTATAATGAATGCACAAATGATTAATTTTTCTCTTCTGAACATTTATTATACCTCAGACAAATCATTCTCAGTTTTCTGAAAAGATGTTTATGGGTTTAAAAAAAAAAAAAAAGTAGTGACTAAGAATCCAGGAATATATTTTATTTCAGATAATAACTCATTTATTTTACAATATTTATCCAAAAATTTCTGATTATTTTCTCCTCAATAATAATAATAATAAAAGACAACTGCTACTATCTCTCATTTTTCTCCAAACCATCCTATAATTCTTTAAAATTACAGCCATAAAAACAATGTATTCCATTAATAATACAATATTAAATAATTTCCCCTTCATTACATATATGGCTTTGTATATTACTTGTACTTAAATGAATAAGCACATATATTTTTCTATTTATTTCTAAAAAACTAATTGACTGCTTTCATTTACAGCAATTATAAGAATAAAGATAACAGAAAATCAAAAATTATTTTATAATGTCATTAAATATCTATGGGCTTAAAGGACAACTCAACATTTTCAAAGAACAGTCCAAATTGCCTTGGTGAAAATTATTTAATGCATTTATAACTCATTCTTATATCATAATCAAAACGCCATTACATTAAAAAATATGAAATGTTACAGTTTATAGGGACTTATCTATTCATCATCATCAACAACAACAACAACAACAACAACAAAACAACAACAAAAAAAAAAAAAAAATACATTTCAGTTCTTATTATATAGCTATACTTTAATAAACTTCTTAAAAATTATAAACTTATTTCAATAGCAATACTTACATTTTTTAATAAACCAAACAACACATCAGTATGAATAGTCCTTTCATGTGCTTCATCCAACATGACAATAGCATAACTTTTCAGATCTGGGTCCACAAGGCATTCTCTAAGCAACATACCATCTGTCATGTATTTGATGACAGTTTCAGGGCTAGTGCAATCTTCAAAACGTATTGTGTAGCCAACCTGGACATCAAATTATGATTAAAATATGAAAATACTTCCAAAGAACTTCTAACATACTATGTATACATACTCCCAAGAATTATGCAACTGTTATTACTTTTGATAATATTTCACATGCTGTAAGAGTGGAGCACATTCTTAACTTATTACATCGGGCAAAGACACAATCTATGCACCCATTTCTGATCATATTTTTGTGCCTTTTCTACATCATCACAGGAATTAATTTTGATCGAGTAAAGAAAATACAGCAGCAGACTGTAAGCAGAATGGCAGGATGAAAGCAAGAGAACGACAATGCAACATGTCCAAGATGAAAGTTCAGTTCATAACAATTTAATTTCACTTACGCTTTATCCCTACTGGTTAATTTTAATTTTCAATTCCCAAATTTGAAATCATTACTGGTTGAAGCATTATGAAAATGCTTGCATCATTAGTGTTATGCAAGGAATCATATGACTGGAATTAATTTTGAAATGATGCAGTTTAGAGGAGTTTATTATAAACAGTAACTATTTTCAGGATAGAAAGAAGAAATAACCAAACTAAAATGGAATGCCAAGGAACTGCTTCAAATTAAAGTTAGAAATTTAATTTACATATTTTTCATCTTACATACATATACCTGTATATCAGGTTTTAATGAAAGTATCCTACCACTGCAAATATCCTCTGTGTAGTTTCCATTGGCATGTTGTTTAATCCTATTTTGCCAAACCATTTTTGGCATTTGAAAGAAAGAGACTTGCTTCAGAACATGGTGTTGTGACATTTGTAAAAAATATCATTATCATTTAGTACAAAGTGCCTGAAATGGAACTATCATCCTACCAGATTAGAACCATCATTTACTTCTAGTGCTGTTACAAAAAGTGAGCTACAGATTGGTGTCAAATCATGCATAGCTTTAGGTACTAATTTTGTATCATATGACACTGTGAAGGTTCGGTACCAAAAGTTCAATAACAAGGATTATCACATTCAAGAAGCAGAGCACTATGTCAAATATCAATGCAAGGACAAAATTCTGGACCAGATTGTCACTTGTGATGAAAAGTGTATTGACTTCAACAACACAGCCTGAAAAGGGGCCTGGTCTTCAGTGAGCCTGTTAGCAGCGTCACAAAGCAAATTTTTACTAACAAAAAGATAATGCTTTGTAATGGTGGGATTGCCATGGCATTATCCACAAAGAATTTCCGGAAAAAGGTAAAAACCTCGACAGTAAGGTGTACAGCAAGATGTTTGTCCATGTTGATGCTGCTATCAAGGAAAAACCCCGAGGTGAATTCTGGTGTAAAAAGGTAATGTTCCATCAACATAACATAAGACCACATGTGTCTGCATTCACAGGCCAGACTCTATATGGACTCGAATGGGATCTTTTGCCACACACACCTTATAGCCCCAACAATGCTTCTTCAGACTTCTATCTTTTTTCACACTTTCAGCTACATCTTGCTGATGCTGTCTTCCATTCTGCACAGCATGTCTGAAATGAGGTTGATCTGTTTTTGAACTTGCCACCAAGTTTCTGGGCAGAAGGATTTGAAAAACTACCAAAATGCTGGCAGAAAATCATAAATTTTGGTGCTGATTACTACCTGCACTAAAGGTACTGCTTTCCTTTTTTTTTCCTAACTTTATTATGTACATTTTTTGGTGGAAAATTTTCATTACAACCAGATATACATATTTCAATAAGCCAAAGTGTGATATAAACTTGAAACTATGCAGTTCATACTGCAAATTTCTTAGAAATTTTAAATGTGAAGTAACTTGCAGTCACATGGCTTAATGGGTTATTTAATCATCACTACAGTACAACTGTTGTGGTAGATATTTAAAAATGTACTTTATGAAAACTGTAATTTATTTTAGATGTATAATTATATTTTTATCAAGAACAAAGCAAAATTCAACTGTTTGACATTCTAAACTTTTTTATTCAATGTTCTGAGACATTTAATATACTTTCTCCACAAGATATTTGAAAATAATATCATTAAAACATGTTACAATGTTTATGTCAGTAATCACCCAAGCCTACAAAGCATGCTGGTGGTTTATAAGAGCACCATGAAGTATCTGAATGCTTTTATAGAAGTGACACTTAATCCATGTAATTTTAGAATCACACTGATGAGTTGATACTATGAATAAGAAGAATATCTTACAGACACTGCACAACAAACCACTGCTTTTGACAGCACCACAATCTTAAAAATGGATTTGAAATGTATTATTAACGAGAAAATTTTAAAGAAATTTATATAGATTAAAAACTTTTCTAGAGTCAATGTTCCATTTGAATTTACTTCTGCAGAAGAAAATTTAGTTGAACTATCTTGCAACAATACAACGAAGAGAAAATTCAACATAAAAAGGAGTTAGCTAATTTTTTTTATATCTTCATAGTAGATGTGTATCAGTTACGTCAAGTTGAGATTTTGATGATTGCTGTGAAAAAAATTGAGAAAAATCACTGTGAAATGCATGAGGTAGATATATCTAATATCATCCAAACATTTCAAAGATGAGCAATTAAAGTGCTTACTGTAGCACATTTATTCAATAATATGCCTGTTTGGAATACCTATTTACTTACAGTATATTTTATACAATTTAATTCTCATTCTAAAATACATGTTTCATTAATTTTTTTAATCCAGCTGAGCTAATTGCACACTTTAACTGTTAGGTGGATTTCAGGAACCATGAAAAATTTCTAAAATAACTAAGAGCACCATGAACGAAAAATGTTTGGGGATTAAAGGTTTACCTTTATGTTTTCATATAATATTACTATCAATGAAAAAAATTTTAACAAATGCAAAGAAAGTATTTAATTAACTTTTATTATTACTTTCACAAGGATATGTTACAATTATAATGATACATATATCTCTAGCTACCATATGAAAAAAAATGCATACTTCTTGTCCCAATCTGCACCCAAATTCTTCAGCAACTCTTTTTGCAACTGACATAGCAGCAACACGTCTTGGCTGTGTGCAACCAATTTTACCCCTCGCAGTGAAACCAGCTTCTGAAAGATATTGAGTCATTTGGGTGGTTTTCCCAGATCCAGTTTCACCAATTACTATCAGTATTTGGTTATCTGTTACAGCCTAGAAAATATTAAAAAACACACACACATATATATATATATATATATAAACACATAATATATGAAAATAAAGTTTCTTTTATTCAGAAATACATAGAAAGCACATATGTTATTGCTATGAAAAAAGAATACACCTATTTTAGCAAAATTTATACTAATTTACTGATCTTAATTCATTAAAGCTTTTTCCATTGCGGCTTTACCACTAAAATTATGGCTGATGAAAATTTTAATTGAAATCTTTCAGGTTACAAAATGATTAAATATTTATTTAATATTATTTATAATAATAATATTTTTTATTATAAATATTTATTATGATCAGCTACAGTTTAAAAGAATTTATTTAAAAATAAATATTTAAAAAAATTGTCTTTTTAAGTTTCAAGAAACAGAAAATAAAATTTTTCATTACGAATTATGAAAAGAGATTTTAGATGATTTGTTATCAATTACAAAATGCTTTCTCCTCCCCCCCCCAGAAAAAAATTTTACAGATGCAATGGATATCAAATCAGCTGGATACCAAATGGATGGATAGCTTGATTTTAACCTAGATATTCAGCTATCCATCTGCTAAATATGCAATTTATTTAAATCAAATTTTATCTTTTTAAAATGTTTGGACATCACTATAATTATAAAAACTAATTTTAATCACACAATTAATTAAAAGCTAGTAAAATTTGCTGAAAACTTTTCAATTATTAAAGATAATGAAACTAAGTTATCCATATGCTTTTTATTTTAAATGTTTACATCTTAATAGTACAGTACAAAGTCCGAGATACGGACATGAAATATCTGGAATGATCTAAAATCCGAACCTCAAAGCCGCTTTTTTTGCAGGTATGCCTAAAATACATCTACTTTAAGGTGATGGTAAAAATTTTATAAAGATTTCTAAAAAATACAAATTTTAAAAACAAATCACAAAATAGCTGCAAATTTTATTTGGACTGAATGTAAGTTTTAAATTGTGAAAGAAGGAATCAAGGAAGTTTAATTTAAAAAAAAGAGAGAGAGAGAGAGATGTTTATAAATATATACCAAATTCCAATTAACACTGATGAGTTAAAATTTTGAGAGCCAATATTTTAAATCCTACTTGTGTGATTTTTCCTAAACTTGCACTATGGCATAGTTTGAGTAGTAGAATTGAAACATGGAAAAAAAAAAAAAAAAAGATATGTCATTTCAGTAAAAGTCTGATTTTGGGTCAGAATAACAATGTTAGAATAATGCTATATAAAATCTAATATGTAGTCGTGCATGTATATAAGTCGTGCTTTAAAGAAACGAAAAATGCAAGTGAAATTTCATCAATCGGCCCAGTAGAACTAGAGATATAGAACTGTTCCATTTTTTTGGGGGGAGGGCAAGCTATACAAGGCCTTTTTCTTTCTCTCAATTTCACTACTTCTAACATAAAATATATTGATTTATACAAGAATGATGCTGAAAAAGAAGAGAAAAAAATAAATCCAAATGAGATTTTTCTTATTATAATAATTGAAATGATGAGCAAAATTCCCTAAAAAGGAAACCAATTTTCTTATTTTTGAAATTTTGTACTCAGTTAATCCATAAGTGGCATGACTTTTTATACCCAATCATGAGATTTTTTGTTACTTGATATACATTAGATAATAATTTAAAATCTTTTTATTTTTTTAATAATGCAAATATCATCTTAATGAATGGAAGTTTATGAAAACAAAGACTAAAATAAGTAATAATACAAATTTAGCTGATAGAAGCAATTTAAGTGCAGATCTTCATGTACAGATTTCAAAAAGCCGTGCCACTAATAGGATTAAAGGGAAATTTTGCTATTTACAAAACCTGATGAATAATTTGAAGACATTTTGAACTGCACTTATTATTTTTTTTTTTTTAGTTATGTGTATATTTGTTTAATGCTTTGCAAGGCACATTAAGATTATGCTTAATAAGGAATATAGATATATGTCATACTATTTTAATAAGGAATACAGATATATGTCATACTATTTTTTAAAAGCTTGCTTGTCTCTTACTTTTCATGGGGACTTGTTAAAAAAAGTTTTATAAAAGACGACAGCCTTTCTGATTACAATGAAGAAACTGAAAATATATTTTTCATATTTTATATAATACAGGTTAGGTTACAATGTGATATAATTGATAATACCTTTATGAGATCATCTTTCAGTTTATAAATAGGAAGACTTTGTCTCTGCTCAAGAATAGTCATTTGTGTCTTCTTCCCATAAGATGCCTTAGATCCCCCACTTATATGCTTCTTCCATTCTGGTAAATCTTGAGTTGACAGTCCAATGCCACGCATATTTGCTGCCAGAGTTCTACCCTCAGCTAAAAATATTAAGATTTTTTTATTTTAAGAAGAAAATAAGCCATAATAATTACAATAGAACTAGAACAGAATTATCTCGATATCCTATTTTAATTCTGAGCTAAGTAAAATTTAATTTGAGCAAACTTGTTTATTACTTAGATATGCTTACTATTACTTTATCATACATTTATTACTTAGATATGCTTATATATTTTTAAACCTTTCATTGACTTGAATAATTTAAAACATAATATAGTACCTTTTCAAGAAGTTGAGTAGCATTATTTTTTTTATTATTTTACTGTAATAAATAAACAATGTTTTAATTTAGGATCACTAGAAATAAGTCATGCATTTTGTTTTACTCATATAAGAAATAATTTAATTACTTCATTTAGCCCATTTAAATAAATCCCAATTTTAATAAAAATAGAAATGAACAGGGACCCATGCCAGTCATTTTCAAAATCAACAGAGTTTTACTTAAAATCTACACCAAGGCAGATTATTGTGACTAATTGATATTGATTTTCCATATAGATTGACTAAAGATATAAGTCAGCAAATTCATTCTCCAACACCTTTCATTATTTTAAATGGAATATTTTTATTCTTATTTAAATAAAATGAATATTTTATTAAATTTTATGTTTGCCCTATATGGACTAATAAAAAGTTAGATTTAATATTTACCAACCTCTCCCATCCTAGAAGTTTAAGCTATTTTCATAAAGGTTGGGAAGCTTTCTAATATAATGTACATATCAAGGACCAGTATTTAAGGAATAAAACCTAAAGCCATCAAGTACTCAAAATAACACAAATTCTCATAAAGAACATGTAGCATCAATTCAAGACTACAAACAGTGAAAAAAGAAATGACTTGCATATGCATCTTAACTAAATTTTATTTCTTGCCATTTGCCAATAGACTTTGCAAAAGAACAGAATTAATCACTTTCATTCCATGAAACATTACCACTACTATTTTCATTTTCTGACATGAAATAATCTTTGTAACGATATATACATAAATATATTTGAAACTTTTATTTTGGAAATTCTTTTACACAATATAGATCCTAAATTATGGTGCTAGTGCTAAAATGGTCAGCAAGCCATCAACATTTTTTCATGCATAAAACTTTATGCCCTCTCCCCATGGTTGATGGACAGTATGGATGTATGGCAAGCAACAAATACAGAAAGTTTCAATTCAGACTGAATAATGCTCTTAATTTTTCGAATACTTTTTATGGTACTATACTAAGGCAGAATATTACTGATAATTTTTATAACGATAGGATATAATAATAATTGATAGGATATAATAATAAGTGATAGGATTATTAATTTGTTCCTTGAGAAAAATATCAAGCCACCATTTGATAACTAAGATGATTCATAAACCTCTTTATTCTATGACAAATGACTCTCAACCAAATTCTTCATCACTGGAACAATTTTAGCCAAGATTATCTTAGCAGAGAAGTTTTATCAATGCAAAAATGTTATAATTAATACCCCTAAACCTTTAGTTTGAATGACAATTAAATCATGTTAATAATAAAATTTACAGTAGCAAAGTGCAACTGAATAAAAACTACATTTTTTAGATGTAAGAGACATTCTATAACGGCTTCATTATATGGCACAGTGATTTATGATGTCATTTTAAGAATTCAATCCCAGGGTAAAATGAAAGCTGACTGTCTTATGAATTTATTTTTTTGTATGCATTGTAAGACTAACTTACCATCTGGCAATGGATCAATCCAATGCTTATTAAGACCAGCAGGAATGGAATCCATTTCTGCTTCTCTTTGTTGCTGCTTTTGTTCTCTTCTTTCTTTGGCAAGTGCTGACTGCATCATAGCTGCCTGGGCCAAACTACCATCAGGATTCTATGGTTGAAAGTTAAAAGACTTTTTAAAACAAGAACAGAATTATTACAGTCATACTTCATATAACTATTCCATAAAAATCTTCTGATAAGGATTTGTAGATGTTCCTTCCCAGAAAGCTTTTAAAGTAAATAAGAATGAGGTTGTTCCTAAACTGAAGTAACACTACTGAGATTTAATTCTTATCCTAAACTGAAAATAAATCTACTCTCTCATTTTTGACAAATGTATACAGGGTTCACAAACATGTCTACACAATGAAATTAAGCATTTTTAAGGACCATTCATGATAAAAAATTAAGGACCTATCTGCAAAGGGATTTGAATAAACTAAAGCAATTATCTATGCCCAAACTTAACTTTTGTAATAATATTCTCAGAATAAAATAAATCTGTAAGTAGGATAATTATTATTAATCATAATCTACAATAATATTTAACATAATTATAAAAAATTCAAGAACAAAATTAACTTTTTAAAATTTATCATGTAATTTAGAAATAAATTACAAAATTCCTCCAAAACTTAGTATGTTTTGTAGCAACAACTTAAAACAAAATATTTATGCAATTTTTTAAATTGAAAATTTTCAAGTAAATTTAGCTAATTCACATCAGTTTTCTTCCCCTTAATATATTTTTTATTTCAATAAACAAATCAGTGTTCCCCCACTAGTCTCTGCTTCCTCCCCCAATTTGTTAATGTTTTAACAATATACATTTGAAGAATAATTTTTTTCTCTTTATGTAATCCATTTCTTCTCAATATGTTTCCTCTACACTTTAGAATTTCAGATTTCATTGAATATTTCTGTTATTCTAATGAACTGCATCTATTTAGAATGCATAAAAGATACTAACTTTTATTTCTTTAAAAATATGAGTATTAAGAATAAATACATAGGGTAATCAAATACAAACAAGCCTTTACTGGCTGAGCATCTGGGTGGGTATTTGTATGTGCTTGGGCAGTTGAAGACATGAGGTGGGGTTGCCTGCAGTAACAGAACTATACCAGCTGGCTAGTCTCATGCTTTTGTTAGTAGTCTTTACACTGAATGAGAGGAGTGTGCCCCTCCCTATTGAGCAACGCATAATTATTAAGGTTCCTCGTCCGCGAAAATGTGAAACCAGCCAAAGTTTACCACAGACTGCATGATTAGTTTAGGGAAGTTACCTTTCAGTTTTTAGGGAAGTGTTTTAGGAGATTACAAAAATTCTGTTGTCATTCCCTTCTTTCCATCAATTAGCTATAAAGTTGCACATATTTTGCAGAGATTTAACTTTCGGGTTGTTTATTCTCCCATCAATAAAATTCCGAGTTCCATACTTAAGGACCCCATTCTGGATATGAATTCCTGGGGTATTTATACGATTCCTTGCCAGTGTGGTTTAATTTACATTGGCCAAACTAAGAGAGCCTTAAAATTTCGCGTCAAGGAACATGAGGCATATGTTAGAAAAAAGGAAACACAGAAGTCTTCTGTTGCGCAACATTGTTGGTCCGAAAATCTCACTTTCAATTTTTTTGCTGCCAAAATTATTCAAAAAAGATCTTCCATTGGAGAACTGGATTTTCTAGAGGCATTTCACATTCATAAAAATCTTTCTGTTCTAGTAAACAATTCTAATTCCAATCCAAATTTGCCTTCGGCCTTTAAAGAAATTATGTTTTAGTTCTGGTTTCACCAACAGATGGCGCCACTTGCTTATTCTTGTCCAGGCTTTCTTATCTTATCTAATAATTTTTTCCTATCTTGTTCATTTGCGGTTTTGCAGCTGAGGATGGTGGTTCGGTAAAACCATCGAAACTAGTCCTGTGGAAATTTTGTAAATATAACGCTGATTTTTGTTGTTTGTCTTCTAAATTAGTATTTATTCAGCGTGTTATTGTGTCTTAATTATAGAAGCCCCAAACAGACTTACTTTTTGCTTTCTTTTTTGCACGTGGTGTGGCCACCATTTTCTGATTGCATGAGTTTCGGAAAGTACTTTTTTGCAATTTTCAAGTTATGTTTATGTTTTGTATATTTGGACATCGTGCTTTGCTTGTATGATTTCATGCATTTTGCTTACAAACGTTTTGTTTTCTATTCATTTCACTGAGGGATTTTTCTGCTGTTTTGTGTGTGCTTTATTATTGCTTAGTTAATTAGTTTGATTTTCTGCATTGTTTATCATGCCCTCATCCGTTAATCGTTTCACCTAAATTACGCCTGAAATGGCAAAAATTCCTGAATCAATCTTGACTTTCTTACTTAAGTGTAAATGTAAAAAATTTATCCCCAATTTTATTCAAATCAAATCTAATCAAAAACCTTCAAGTCGCGTTTCAAGAATTCTGTTAAATTGCAAGCTTGCCTTACTTCGGTCCGTCATAAGGGATACACGTCAACAATTGTCCAAAATTGAACATGAACTCTATACGCTTCATCTGGAACTCGCTAAATCATATCCAAAATTCACTGTCCTTGAACAAAAGTCTTGGTCTAGAACGGAGAATGCAGTTAACCATCATAAAAACCACCCTTGCAGTTAAATTCGAAAAACTCCTTTTACAGTCTTCCAGTTCAAGTAGTTCAAAAAATCTTCCTATGGTAAACATCAAGCCAATAGTTAATATTTCTAATGTTAGTCTTTCAGAAGAACAAGAGAGAATTCTAAAATATAATTTTAACTTCTCACAAACCTGTAAACCCTCGATTCCAAAGATTTTGGCTCCTATCGAAAAAGCTTTCAAGTTCAGTAAAGTTTCAGATTCACAGAAAGAAATGATTAGGCATCTTATCGTTCATAATGTGAAATTCAATAATAAACCTTTGAAACCAAATCTAACTGCAAGAGAAAGAGCTACAATGCGCGAAATTCATTCTAACCCGGATATTATCATTTCAAAGGCCGACAAAGGTGGCCAGATAGTCGTCATGGATAAGAACACTTACATCGATGGTGTCACTAAACTCTTAAATGAAGGACCATATAATCCGATCCCTAAAGATCCTCCACCTTCCGACTTGTCAAAAATAAAAACTGCGATCAAATCTTCGCAAATCATTTCAAGCAACTTAAAACATTCGCTTATCCCATCTGTTGCGAATTGTGCCAGATTATATGCTCTTCCCAAAATTCATAAAAGTGGTATTCCTTTCCGCCCTATTGTATCAAATTTAGGTACTGCTTCATATTCATTAGCTAAATATTTAGTTTCTAGATTTTCAACTCTATTAGACAATAACATTTACACCATAAAAAATTCAATAGAGTTTGTAAAAAAGGTTAAAAACATTTCTCCTAGTAATTTACTCATGGTTTCTTTTGATGTAAAATCATTATTCACCAATGTCCCGGTGGAGGGTGCATTAAGATGTCTAGAAACCAGACTTCGCGAATTTCATTTCTCTTGCATCGAAATTGATGAGCTAATTTCTCTCACTCTGTTTAAAACAAACACATTTTGTTTTCCAAAATAAATATTACAAGCAAACTGAGGAATTAGCCATGGGAAGCCCCCTCAGTCCCATCCTGGCTGATATCTACATGCATTATTATGAATCAAAATTGTTTGAAATTTTAAACTTCCCGGCATGGTTCCGCTACGTAGACGATACTTTTACCCTGTTTGAAGGTAATAAAGATGATTTAAATAGAGTACTTTCAACAATGAATTCTATTGATCCTGCTATTCAGTTCACTTTTGAACTTGAGACTTGCAATTCTCTTCCGTTTCTCGACATTCTGGTCACACGTAACACATGCAACTTCAGTACTACAGTTTACCGTAAACCTTCATCGGTTTGCCTTCCACCACACTTAAATCATGTCATCCGACTAAAACAAAGTTAGCTTCATTTTATTCCTATGTTTTCTGTGCTCTTCAAGTTTGCTCCTCCAAACTAGCCCTTGATAAAGAACTAAATTATTTAAAAGCAATAGCTATTGACAGGGGCTTTTCACACCCAACATTATTAAACAAGCAGTTAAAAAATTCTCATCTCAACACACTAAAAGGCACACTCTTGTTTTAGGAGATTATAAAAATTCTGTTGTCATTTCCCTTCTTTCCATCAATTAGCTATAAAGTTGCACATATTTTGCAGAAATTTAACTTTCGGGTGTTTATTCTCCCATCAATAAATTCCGAGTTCCATACTCAAGGACCCCATTCCGGATATGAATTCCTGGGGTATTTATAGGATTCCTTGCCAGTGTGGTTTAATTTACATTGGCCAAACTAAGAGAGCCTTAAAATTTCGCGTCAAGGAACATGAGGCATATGTTAGAAAAAAGGAAACACAGAAGTCTTCTGTTGCGCAACATTGTTGGTCCGAAAACCACACTTTCAGTTTTTCTGCTGCCAAAATTATTCAAAAAACATCTTCCATTGGAGAACTAAACTTTCTAGAGGCATTTCACATTCATAAAAATCTTTCTGTTCTAGTTAACGATCCTAATTCCAATCCAAATTTGCCTTCGGCCTTTAAAGAAATTATGTTTTAGTTCTGGTTTTACCAACAGATGGCACCACTTGCTTATTCTTGTCCAGGCTTTCTTATCTTATCTAATCATTATTTCCTATCTTGTTCATTTGCGGTTTTGCAGCTGAAGATGGTGGTTAGGTAAAACCATCGAAACTAGTCCTGTGGAAATTTTGTAAATATAACGCTGATTTTTGTTGTTTGTCTTCTGAATTAGTATTACCTTTCAGTGTCAAGAAGGAGGGTTTGGTGCAATGGATTCAAGCACGTCCGTGAAAGTGTTGTGAATCAAGGTCATCAATGCTGTCCTTATACCAGTGCAACTAATGAAAACACTGCACACGTTTGTGTACTGCACTTATCGAATGGAATCTACATTGCACGGTGTTCAAATTTCGGAAGAATTTGATGTCAGCTACGGAAGTATCCAATCAGTCATCAGATAGCAGTTCAGCTTCGGAAAAATCTCAACTCGTTGGCTACCAATGTCGCTGAATGATGATCAAATTCCTTGGGTTTCCCTACATCAGCTTTAATCAGGCCCTTCTATTCAAGGGGCTCTCTGGCATAACAGGGTTCCTGATGTATACTAAACACCTACAGGTAAGGTGAATTTGAAAACGCAAGATACAAGCATTGAGGCGCACAGTGAGTTTTTTTTTTTTTTTTTTTTTGTAGAAGAAACTATGCAGGGATCTCCCTCTCATAGCTGTGTTTTGGAATATAATTTGGAAACAGTTATCAAATCCTTATACACCACCTAGCCATGTGGCTTGAGAAATTACCTCTGCCCTCCTTATTTATTTATTTATTTATTTTTAAGACTCGCCATCACACCTTTGTTTGGTCAAGAGTTTGTGTTTGGTGGAGATTGAATTGGCTCTTCATCCAATTGGGAAGTTTTAACGATACAACTGACATCCTGAATTTAGGGATGGGATCTTTTCCTGATACTATATATTTGGTGTCAGTACGGGATCTTATCTACTTATACCTTTCACAGGAATTACCATTTAAAATCTTTGTCTTAAATGATCAAACGGCGGAAGAGCAATGTGAATTGTGTGAGCAATTCCTTCTTATGAACAGAAGGAAGCGCCACTATTGTTATGTTATTGTTACAATGCACACATGCTACTTTGCATGTTTTGGGGATTAACCAAACTTTGATAATTCATCTACAGCAGTAATATTTATAACTAAATTTAAAAACTAATTTTAACAATTTTACTCACCTTCATTATTCTTACAGGACTGAGGTCTTGCATATTGGCACGACCATGACCTGATAAGAATGGTGGCTCATCCTCTACGAGTTCTATTTCAATGTCTTCATCTAAATCATTAAAATATTACATATTAATACATACAAAAAGAATAATAAACAATATATTACAAAGCTGATATTTTCAGAATTTATAAGTGTAATACACCTAGCTGCTAAAAATCCAAGCATAATATTTTGCTTCCCAAACATTAATATTGACAGACTACTGTCAACATAGCCTGGCAATTTTCTGCCAGCTCTGGCTATAAGTAAAGCTAGATGATAGCATTAATAGTAACAAAATTAAAGTCATTAAAACCATTGGGTATAACAAAATAAATCAATACAGTGCAAACTACTTTCTATCATTAAAGCGGTAATGACCAGCAGAATTCATAATACGATTAAAATTTTATTTAAAGTGTACATAATATAGTGAAATTTAATTTAAACTAAAACAACTTCAGTCATGATATTTACATTGATCCCAAAACCCAAAACATAGCTGATATATTTTATGAGCCTTTATTGAAGAAATTGGTGAAGAAAAAGAGCTGATTTTGCTCAAAAAGTTATGTTGTAAGATACAAATATGTAGGTTTATGACATGAGATAATGTCAGTCTGCTTAAATGACAATTTTATATCCCATGCTTTCTTATTGAAGCAGATGAGTTATTTGAATCTGCTTCTAATCAATTTCCAAAAGATAATTGTTAAACTGTTCATATAAATCAAAATCATCAGCATCATCGCTAAACTGTTTTAGCTGTTAATATTAACCAAATCAGAACAGTCATCTCAGTATCTTATCTAGTGCAACAGTACTAAAGAGTTATAACAAGTGCTTTGCTCCTTTTACTTCAAACCACTCCTTTGATGTCAGAATTTTGAAACTGATCTATATCAACATCAAAATTTTTAAGTATTTGCAAGTAAGCATGGGTGATTTATTAATAATTCAAAGTAATCTATCACCACAAGTGTTTATCTCATTTTGTTGGGTATTTGTGACTTCACAGAATTTGAATATTCCTTAAGCCATTTGCATCCACAATGAACACAGACTGGATGTTTCAGTTGAAAAGAATTTTCAATTTGATGGGTGAAAAAGCAGCAAAATTTTGCTTTCTGGTGGATATAAAACCTTGCATGACTCGTTTAAATCGTTTAATGGCAATTTACAATTTATTTCTTATATGTTTAAATTCATGGAATTAAATGCATTCTATTTTACTTAACCCTCTGAATGATAAGACCGTCTTTACCCAGTCATGAGATTTTTTTATCATTAGTTATATAAAAATAATTTAAAATATTTTGTTTTTTAACTTTCTTTAATGATGTAAATATTATCTTAATGAATAGAAGAGATTAAAATAAGTAATTAAGCAAATTTAGCTAATAAATACAGTTCAAATTCTGGTATTCATGAACAGATTCAAAAAGGCATATTAATCAGATGGTTAATCATGAAATGAAGAACTGAAATTAATTCCATTTAGCAATTCAGTATGAACAAATGAAAGCTCTCTTTTTCTCTTTAGAGAAAACATGCATTTCTACTGAGAGAAAAAGCAATACTTGGTACTTTAATGCTATTTTCCTAATCATTTATTTGTATGGGATTAGCAACTGTTATAATGTCTGGGTTTTTGCCAGCTCACTATGTTCAAGCTTGCTATCCATAGCTCCAACGACATTATATTCTATATTGTGATAACAAATACATAGGACTTCTTTTGAAGAATGATTGTTTCTAATTCCCCAATGCATTCTATGAAAATTTTAAAATAAAGCCCCCCAAAACTTTACATGTTCCTTTATTTTCACTCTGCTATCTAAAATTTCCCACTGCTCCTAATTCTGAATTATCAAATTAATTCAAATAATCGCTTACATCAAATCACTTCAGCAAAATACTGGTGCATTAACCCCTTTTTTTCATTTTGTTAAAAATGGATATATAGATAGAGTGACAGTTGAGTAATATCTATGCTAAATAGAACACATTTCACTTCAATAACAAATTTATTAGCTTTAAACATTTCAGCTGCAGAAATTCACACACAAGCTAAAATACATGGATGATGGATGTCAAATAATGCATCTTGTTTAAGGTATTCTGAGCATTAAGATCCATCTTTAACAAGAAGACATAGATGACCTATTTAGTAATACTTGCCCCCAAAATGCACACCTCATCATTTAAGGAATACACTATAGTAGTGCTGTTGATACTTTCCAGAGAGATTTTTTTAAGCAACCCCCCTCCCAATTTTTAGCAGATTTGGATTTTACAGCATCTATAGTCAACAAGGCAATAAATATATAAAATATATTTTTTAAAATCCGAAATATTGTCAAGAATAAGATTTAATGGAGGATCTTCAATTAGCAAGAGACTTTCTACGTGAGGTGCAACGTAATTCGTTTGGAATAGACTTTCTGATGTCCTTTTCTATGAATGCTTTCATGGCATGAGATTATAATTTATAGAAATGTATCCCAGATTGAATAAATGTAGATTTTAAATCAATATAAAGTAAGCTGAATTTACCTTGAATTTTTCTTAATTTATTCAGAAATAAATCCCTGGCATCCATATGAGGAGAATAGATAATTTTTATGTTGGAAATATGCCTCACACTACACATGTGGCTAGCCAATCTTGTTATTTTTATCCAGTGAACTTATATCTCGCGTCACAAAATTCACACCGAACAATTTTGTCATTGGTAGTTATTCCCTATTCTTTTCATATTCTTTAACCCACTCAAAGCAATCTTCTGTGAAAGTGGCTAACATTTCTGAAAATATTAATAAGCAATGATATTGTCATCACTTCCAAAACATGACCACTTTCACAGAAGAAATCTAGAAAATCAGAAAGAGAAAATCTATCATCTTAGAAAGAGTTACATATTTTTAATTTTGTGAATAATAAAATATACTGATTCAAAGAAATGATACAATGCAAACAGCAAAGTTAGCCAGAAAAGAAAAACATGCCTTATTATTCCTTATCTACATAACTGTTTTTCACCCAAGACTTTCTTCTGTTATGGGCTAAACAAATAAAGAAGTACAAGTGCTTACTGCATCAAAAATTTAGCATACAAATTGGCACACTCTTGTTTAGCTTTAGCTTCAGGTTAGAAAATGTTCAAAATTTATTAAATTTTCAGTTTTTTTTACTTATATTCTTTCTTTTGGTGAAATATTGCTTAATTTCATATTTGGAAAAAACCTGGCAAAATGGAATGCACTGTATGATTTGATTGATGATAAATGGCAAGATTAAATTTGGTTACTTCAAACCTCAAATGAGTCCTTAACAGAATGCTTTCATTTAAAAACTTCTGTCAAGTAAACGTAAATTTGGTGGACCCCCCCTTACGATATCCAAAATATTTCTAATTTACCACTGCATTTCATAATACATGCTGGTACAATATCTTGTTAAGAAGGTTAAGATAATGAACAGAACAACCATAAGCTATAATAACATTTCTGAACTGTCTTTCTCATTGATGCATTTTACATTTATTTTGTGTTACAAGATGTTTCCTTTCACACTTAAAATTCCTTTTCTACTTCTCTTGCTTCATTGATAATTTACACACAGTAACTTGTAATCTTTCCTACAGATATATTATATACAGAACTAAAGAAAATGCATTCAGTAGTACCATGAATATAAATAATGACCGAGTGCACCAATATGTATATGATTAATAAACAAGTCATTATGGATGTTAATTCAACCTTGAATCACTGTAACATTTTTACAAGTAACTTACTTTTCAATCTTTGATTTAAACTTCACTGAATGAGTTATCTATCCAATAATTATTAATTATATATAGTCTAAGAAGTCAATTATTTTCCTCTCGGAGGATGTGTAACCTGGCCGTAGTAACCTGAAGGTTATAAAATGGACAGATTCACTCTGACAAAGAATGAAATATTACAAATGTAAAAGAACTCTGCTATTGCTCTATAAAAGACCTCTTTGCTCTATGGAGTCATAATAATAAAGTCATACTAGCCAGATGCATTACGGTTTTTTTATTCCTCACATACTTTTCTCCTTGTTTCTGTTTCTTTAGAAATGGAGCTGAATTCCTTTTTAAATAAACAGGCACTTCTATGCTAGAAACTAAGTCTGGGAACTGCTTATATGCTATTGATGCTGTTTCATTCTGCACAGTTCTTGTTTATTGCAACTGAAATATTCTATTACAAAACCTTTTATTATCTTCTATACATAAAAAAACCTATTTTATATCTGGTTATTTCTTTATTTTATTTTACCAATTTTGGGTCTACTGGCCTACCATGAAACAGATACAACAGGATTCAGTAATATCTTCTTAAATAAATAAATAAAAAAATCTTTCTAAGCATGAAATTGTCTCAGAAGAAAAGCTGAATTGTTAAGTCAGTTACATTCATTAGCTCACAGTTTATCAGACTGGCACACTTAGGAAAAGTCATACCCTAATTAGGATAATTTTTTTGTGTTATTCATTATTTTAACATAAAGATAATTTTAAGCATATATTTTTGTATCTATTGTGATATAAGCAGAGGAAACTCAATAAATTTCTTTTCAAGTGCCAGAACTGCATGCTCCTTAAAGTGATAAATAATTCTTTTTTGTTATTAATAACATTACATAAGCTAGGATTCAAAAGTTCTTGGACTGAGTCTATAACATAAAAAATATTATGAATTAAATCGCAGAAACACATCCTCCTTCGAAATAAGACCATTGTGCAACAACAAAATTTTGCCTGCACCTGTAAAGTTCATTGAAGCATGTTTGGAATTCATTTTTGGCTATGTTCTTTAATTCAGCCTGCGATGTACATTTAACTTCATCTGAAGACTGAAATCGACGATCCCATAAGCATTTTGTCAGTTCAGGATTTAAGAAGAAATTGCAGAGTGTGAGATCCGGTGAGCAAGGAGGATGAGGCAAAACAGTTGTTTTCATTTTTGCAGGAAAGTCATTGGCAAGTAGGGATCGGTGAGCAGGAGCATTATCATCATACCTGCCAAACT